GTGTGCCACCACTCCTGGTAACCCTTGTTTACCTTGCTGTGTGGGACATAGTGGGGAAATAAGGTCCTGCCTTCCTGATGAATGCAGTCTGCTTAATTTAGGTGATTGGATAAAAGTAGCTGCACTAGAAAACTACTTCTTATTCTGTGTCACATATTTTATTCTGGCTCTGCTGTCTTTCTTCACTCTTCTGTATGTTCATTTAGAACTAGGCAAACAAATTGGTTTTTTAACCTTTTTGAGCCTTTTCATTTTCCATACCATTAGATTCTTTTAGATATGAACTGCTAGGAATAGCTAGGTACAAACCGAGCTATTTATTTCCTTTTGAATTCCTTGCTTCTAAAATAGTGTCTTTAACAGTGTGAGAGGTTAATGTGTGGTGTATAACTGGAGGAATGAATGGTTGTGCGAGTTAATGAATGAGTGAATGCATAAATAAAGGCAGTTTTCATTTTTAAGCTATTCATCATTTACATTAGGATGATTTCTAAAGGGAAAAATTAAGCACTTCAGAGTTAATTACTAAGAAGCATGTGTGCTAGGATTTATGGCTCTGCAAAGGATGTAAGGATCTGAAAGTGATTCTTAGGATTTATTTTTAGATAACATTGAGGAGATAAATTTTAGACATATCTACCTAAAGCCCCCAAACAGAATCATCTTTCTGAATTTCAGAAGCACACTGGCTATTTTTAAAAATTAAATGTTGGGCCGGGGATTTAGCTCAGCGGTGCGGTGGCCTGCCTTGCAAGCGCTAGGACCCGAGTTCGATCCCTGGTACCAAAAAAAAAAAAAAAAAAAAAAAAAAAATCTTGTTCATCATTCATATCATAAACAATTTTGGGAAAAGAACATCAATGTTCAATATTAAAATGTCCCTGCCTTATACCATAACCCACAGATCATGAGAAAGTTGTTGTATATTCTTCTAACTAGCCCTTGTATATAGGCACACGTGACTATATATTCATAAACCCCAAAATGCGTGACTGTGAACTTCCTTTTTTTATTTCATACCATCTCATAACTGTTTCTATAACATTGTATAATTACATAAATAGGACATTAATTCTGGATGATAATTTCTCTACTGGCCCCAGCCCTAGATGGGCCCATCTCCTCACCTTTAGTAGTAACATTGTGAAATATTATCAGTTCTACAGTGTGTTTTTGAAACATATATTTGAAAGATAGAAGCATTACATTGTAGCATTTAACATTTGGAGGTGAGCATGAAATTAATGCAATCTTCCCTACCTTTAAGGATAAAGAAATTAAGCTAATTTTGGATCTAGGACAATCTCATGAGAAGATTTGTTGGGGGGGGCAGATAGAACTTCTTCAGCTTAGATATTAGTTTATTTTCTGGGACCAACCCTTTAACTCCTTCCAGTTTGCTCCAAACTGCCTCCTCTGGATTACATTTTAAGGACATCATGCGTATCTGCATAAGAAGATGTCATAACTGACTCAAATTGACCAGCCATGTTTCCAAACTAATCTACACAACACAGAATCAAAAAGGAACATAGGTGCTTACCAAAGCCAGCACAGGGTGTGTATTCAATGTGTAATACCTGCTATCATGTTTGTGAAGCTAAAGATGATAATTTGTACCACGTCTGTACTTGGGATGGAACAGACATACTCTAAAATTGTGTCTCAGCTTGTTGTCAAGCAGAATGAATTATCTAAAAAATTTCCTTGTTTTTCTCTTGGATCCCCTCTCTGTTCAGAATCTTTGTGGCACTCTCATCCAAATGCAGAAGGTCAGAGGTTTTTTCCTGACAGAGTAGCTGTCTATCAGGAAAAAAAAAAAAAAGAACTGTCAGAATACGAGGAAGTCATGGACCTGTTCTTTCATCTTTGCCCCCTTCTGCCATTGCAAGATCGCAATCAAAAGAACATTCTCAACTGATTCTTTTAAAGTGACTTCATGCAGTGGTGCTTCCAATTAGATTGATTTTTTTTTCATAACTGGCTCTTGATAATCACAAAGTGAATTACTGCTATTACTTTCCAACATTTCAATAAATCAGTTCGCAGTCGCACAGATGGGATTACGAAGAATGATTTACTGGGGAAACTTGTGTGTTTCTCCAGTAACTAGTTACAGTCAAGCAACGAGGTCCTCCAGAGTGTTGCCCCAGTATCAGTTCTTTGTTTTAAAATTCATTATCTGGCTTCCGGTATTCCTAGAAGTTTCTATTAGAAGATGGCCTTTTGATGAACTACTGTGCTGATGATATAAACTAAAATTTGAATTAAACTTTATTTCTGTTTTCAGAGCTGTAACGTACAAAGTGTAAGTGGGCAGGCTGGTTTCTTTACTTACAGGTTGTGAGTACTTGTGCAAAGTATATTATTATTACTACTATTATTGCTTTGATTTTCAAATCTTTTTAAATTGTTATATAGTAGTGATACATAATAGTTATATTAATCTTGGGGAAATGGTACCTATATGTTTATTGCACCAATTGCTTAATATCCTGATTCTATTCTTCCATTTTAAAAAGGAAATGAGTATAGGCGCAACTGTAATTATATATAATCATCTGATAATTAAATACAATAATAGGTGATAAGCACTTAGAATACTGCATAATACATAATGTGCAACAATGTCTGATATTTTATTATGATTATTAATTTTATTATTAGAACAGGAAAAATTCCTAGCTCTATATCAGGCAGTATAAGTTGTCTGTTTTAGACAGTTAATAATATGATGGTGGAAACCATCCAACTATACAGTTCAAAAGACCCAGCATTAGTACAAGATCCACCACAAATTAGCTTTATAAGATACATCAGACACCTGTAGATCTCTGAAACCAAAGTTTCACACACAAATGGGAATGCACCATTTGTATGAGGGTTGAAGTAAGTGTCAACTACTTTATATATTTAGATTGGCATGTTGTACTTAGTAGTTTTTGATCCTCAAATCACATTTTTATTGATTGCCTCTTTTCATTTTCTCAGCTCCCTTGTGGAAGTGACTGAGAATATATTCTTTCAGTTTTGTAGCTGAAGATCTGATACTTGGAGTGAAGTTAAATATCTAAAATGTGGTGGAACAGAACTAGACTTTTGCTTTCCTTAGGTCAAATAAAGAAAATCAATTATTCAGTGACTTCAGTTACTTGTAAGACTAAATCGCCCACATACATTCTCATTCGGCAATAGAATAACCTTTTCCTGAATTAAGCGGGAATCAGTTGTATTAGAATGGATAGAGATGAAAACAACAATAAAATGATGCAGTTCTCCTCTGCATAACAGCCAAGGAAGCTGGGCCACTACTAAATTTGGGGTCCAATAATATTGACAAATTACTTAGCAATCAACTTGGAATAACTTCTTCCGTAAACCAAATATACACAAGGGCCTGTCAGGTGTCACGATAATTCAAGGCATGGGACAAAACCACAGATATGTCTCGTTTTCATGGTGTATTCATGTATAATGTGAGGAGGACGTCTTTAAAAGGCTGCGTGAGAAGCACTTTGTTTCTAAGGTGGCGATAAGTGCTGCAAAGAAAATGAAATGGCTCAAGGATAGGGAGCAGCAGAACTCGAGGATTGCACACTTTAACATGCCAGGTGGAGAAGATCTTACTGAGAGAAAGAATGAAAAAGTTCAATAAAGAGCCGATGGAGGTAATCAAGAGATTCACCCGGACTAGGGGACAAGTCTTTCAGGGAGGTTGAAGAGCAGAAGCAAAGCAAAGGATACTAAATAAGCATCCTTGGCTTATTAAGCAACAGCGAGAAGGCCCTTATCGTATAGGCGGAGTAAGGGGCTCGAGGTCCAAGTGATAACATGGAACAAAATTATGTATGGCTTCGATGATCTTTTTAGTGCTTTTAACATTTATTAGAGTAAGATGGAAGTTACTTTCAGATTTAAAGCAAAGCCAGGCATGGTGGCGCACTCCTGTAATCCCAGCACTTGGGAGGCTGAGGCAGGAGGATCACTGTGAGTTCGAGACCAGCCTGGGCTACATAGTGAGTTCCAGGTCAATGTCAACTACATAGTGAGACCCTGTCTCAGAAAAAAACCATAAAAAAAAAGATTTAAAGCAGTATTAATGTATTGATGTACTAGTATTGATGCTAGTATTAAGTGAATGGCTGATTTAGCCCAGTATTTACTACATTTAGTTTATAATGATGCTAAATGTCTCATTTACTTCAGCAGAGAGTAAGATGAAAATGAACATTATGTTTGAATATCTATTATATGAACAGGAGAGATAATTATAAAAGAAAATAATATACCTACACATTGGTAAAATATTTTTTTCCTGACCACACAGTACAAAGATAAGGAAAGAGATCTAGTAACACTGCCCAAAAGTCATGATAAATGAGTTTATGTGAAAGTAGATAAGATGGTTATTGATTCTGATATGCTCCTTTAGGGCAGAAAAGATGATATTTGAGCTGGGTATTACAGAATGATTATGAATTGGGTGGATAGGAATGAAATATAAAAATAATAATGGTATTCCAAGAAAAAGGGTAGCAGGAAGGATGGTAGGGATGCAAGAAAAAGCAGGACATGTTTAATTAAGAATGATGAGAAATTCATTGGACAAAAATAGAGGGTGTGAAGATGGTGGGAGAAAGCAACAGAAGTTGTATCATTTTTTTTCTTTGTGAAATATCCCATTCCATTTTCCAGTACAAAGGAAAAAAAAAAAAAAGGCCTGAGATTTATCTCAATGGTCCCGCCACCTGCCTCACAAGCTCAAGGTCCCAAGTTGGATCCCTGGTACCAAAACAAACAAAAAACAAGTCTTTACTTTCTGGAAAATGCCGCAAGCATGACATTGTGAGATAAATATAGATTGGGATAGATATATAGAAATACAAATTTGTTCCCTGTAGGTTACTGGATTAGGTACGTTTTAATTTCAAACAACTTCACTTAACCTGTTTCCTAACTTCCTTGAACGTCATGTCGTTTTCACTTTATCTCTCTCCTAGAAATGGTTCTCTGTGTTGCAAGACTGCAAAATAACCCAGTGAGCGTGTGGCCCAAGCAACGGGAACAGCACCAGATCCGCTGAATTCATGTGAGTACCGCAATAACAACTTTTAAAAAGTAGAAGGAAAAGTCATCGTGTGTGACTTTGCATTAGAAACGGCTACGTTTGTGAGTTCATGTGGTTAATTTCTCGGTGCTCATTTGGGCCAGGCTCTAGGCGGGGTCTGGGAGGTTGGTGTCTGTACTCATCCGTGACAGGGCTCCATCGCGTACCTGAGCACCGAAACTGCAGCTTGGCTTAGAGTCTCTGTGTTTATGGTGACAACGTTCTTCTTATGAAGCTTTGCAGCCCGGTTTTCTGACCGGTTTGTTTCCTGTTTCCCCCACCCTGTGACATACTGAACCCATTATTTCTCTCTCTTTCTCGCCCTTTCCTTCTTTTCTCTTTCTCTGTCACCCTGTGCATTAAGATGCCCCATTGTACCTTCATTTGTCCCATGAATCCATGGTCAGTAAGGTTCTCTGTGAACTTCTAGTCCCCTATCAAATCTGGGCTCTGCTATATTTCTCTTCCAGTTTCCAAGTTATTATTTATCTGTGTAGCTAATTGGTGATATTATATATATTTCACTAGATCAAATGTGGAGGAGGTAAGGATCCAATGGACTTTCTGACATCCATGGATATTCACGTCACTGTGCTGTCTCACGCTGCCTGGTCCTGAGGAGGAGTTTGTCACTTAATGTGTTCTCCTAAGGTTCAGATTTCCTTTTGATGTGCCTTAGTTTCAAATAAACTACTTCCCTGGCTTATAGAAAATATGAGGCTCTCTGATATGCACACTGCTGAATTTCTTCTTTTTAGACCTTAAAACATCTCTTTCTCTACTTAATTCTGTGACTTGTTTCCCAAAACAATCCCTCACATTTGAACTTGATCCAAACACTTTATATTTGTATAGAAAAAAACATATATCTTCTTACCTTTGAAACATTCAAATAATTAAATCAAACAAAACAAAACAACCTGTCTTCAACTAATTGTCCTCTTGACTTTTCTGCGCCGAATAATTTCTCTTGAACTATTTACTCTTGTCCAAACATCTGCCGATATTCTTTGCCGGTACATAGCAAATTCCATATGTAAAGACAAATTTTCATCTTGCTGTGTAGTAGATTTTTGCTCTCACGTGATATCTAAACTGATAGGTGCTCCATGATTAAATGAGTTTATTTTAGTTCTCCTTGATTCATACTCTCTACATGATTCTTAAGGTTTTACTTCGATTACCATTCATAAAAGCCTCCCCTTCTATCATTCAAACTGCTGCAGGGTTTTAGTCTCTGTCTTCCATCTCATAACATTATCTAACTCTACTCCTTCACCAGCGTCTCAGCCCCTTGCAGTTAGGACAGTTAACCTGATTATTGTTTTATCCTCCCTTGTTTTTAACTAAAGACTTATTTTTTTAATATGACCCAATGAATTCAATTAATATCTTTAGATACTGAAGGATCCTCTGACATTGTTCTGACCGCATGAGCGGTGGCTGTCATAAAACTTTTATTCCTGAAGTGAAAATGTGATGGATTATCCTATCAGAAACCATTTTGAAATCGTTGAAAACTAAATTTAAAAGTTCTAAGCTCCATGAATTAGGGCATTAATATAAATATTTTATACTTATTGGTGAGGCATTTACTTAAATAATCCTGACTGTTATAATGCACTGTGAGTTTAGAGCATTAAGTTCTGACTCTCTCTCTCTCTCTCTCTCTCTCTCTCTATATATATATATATATATATACATATATACATATACATATATATACTAATCCCCCAAAACAAATATAAATTTCATGTATTGCAAACATACATCAATAAACAATTATTGAGGGGAAAAAAGATTCAAATAAATCCAACACTAACCAGGGGTAGAATATGAAATTAGGTGCCAGGTGTGGTAATATATATAAATATATATATTTATTTATATATATATAGGGTCAATCAAAAATGTATACATCAGGAAAAAAACTTGTATAAATGTTTTAGTGTTACATTTATTGAGACATGGTAAGATTCATGCAAGTTGCCTTTGGCCTCTACAACTACAGGAGGTACCAGAAGTGGTACCCATGAGCCTCCAGACAGTTATTAGTATGGTGAATTGCTGAAGTGTTTATACTTTTGGGGTCAGTCTCTGTGTATCTCATTTGGGGCCCTATACTAAACACCTTATCTTATGCATGCACATGGCTTATGCATGTAAACCAAGGGGATTATTGCTCTCTATAAACTGACAACAAGCAATACAAATGCCTAAAGAGTTTCCTGATTATATAAATGCAGACAGATGCGTCCACACAGCTCTAAGATGTAACTGCTTAATAAATGAGTAGACACTGACTAAATAATTTTATAGGAAATCAAATTGTCTTCTGGTCCTTGAAATTATCAATAAATGCACACAATTCAAGATGGAAAACCCCTATCAAACAAACTCCTTCAGGGATTTTGAGCAGAGCTTTACCTTCGCCATCTTTTCTGTCTCCATTTTTTTGCCATTCTAAAATGTTTTCAGCTTTTGCTTTGGTTCTTCTCTTCCTCTTCCCCTTATGGATCACTTGCCTGAGCTGAATGTATTTGCCTCACTCTTGCTATTCTAACAGTCCTTTGGGAACCTGTTTCGGGTAAATACCTATAGCTTCATGCCCTAAAATCCGTGGCCTAAAATCTTTGTACCCTGTACCTAAGCTCAGGCCTTCAGGAGAACTTCTAGTCAATAGAAGGAGATCAGAAAAACCCAGACTTTTTGAAGGTTTCTGGAGCAATAATTTATTGTTCATTAGCTTTAGTTTTTTAATGAACAATTTATTGTTCATTAGGTGACATTATACAAAGTAGAATAATTTATTGAAGAAATGCATAATTGATTTTATTTGCTTTTGTTTTCCACTTAAAAGTCTTTCAGTCACCTTGCTATCTTTCAGTTACCTTTCAGACTAAATTTTCAAATTCAGTTTCTTGTATGACGCTTATTCATATAGATCACTATTTCTCATGGCAGAATTTGCAATATCTAAATAATCCCAAAATGTAGTCACAAGATGCTTAATGACCATGATATATCCTGAAAAAATGTACTGTTTCATGTTTCATCGTTCTGTAAAAATTACAGACTGAAATCACATGAACCTAGATGGTACACACTAATGTACACCTAGCCTAAGTGGGGTAACAGTTTTATTTTTGTTTTTACTTTTCAAATTTTATTAACCTGGATCTAATCCAGATTAGGATCGTCAGTATCACTGTTATCGTCCACAGCTCGTCTCTGTGGATTCTCAGGGGCAAGACAAGTATGGACGGAACTCTTATCTCTGAGAACAATGCTTTCTTCTGAAACCCTTCCAAAAGGACCTGCCTTAAGTGTGTTACACCTCAGCACCTTTTTTACTGTTGCATAAATAGAAGGGGTACACGTGAAAACAGCAAAAAATGCAAAGCATAGTAAACACATAACACAGGGACATAGAAAATTTTCATCATGATCACACATTATGCCCTGCACGTAATTGTCAATGCTATAGTTTTACACAATTAGCAGCACCGTAGTATAAATGGTCCACTTGTAAAGAGATAGTTCTTGGATTATCTCAATTTAAGTGTGCCAAATATTTACCATTGGAACTCTGCTTTAGTGTCTCTTTTCAGATGTTTTAATTAGCTTCATATCGATTAAACCTTTGCAAATGTATGACTAGTAGTGGTAAATAGCAATTTAAATGTAAATATTTACAATTAAAAGTATGAACTGTCTGTCAGTACAGAAAGAAATCTTGGGAAAAATAAGAAAACAATATTGTATTGGTAGTGTTTGCAGTCTTCTTCTATATATTTAAATTGGCCAGTGAAGTCCATTTAAGAATTAAATTATTAGAAAGTGGTATCATTCCTGTCAAACTTTTCTGTTCATTATATAAATAAGCAGGATTGAATTGACATATCTAAGAATCTCCTCCAATCCAAATTGTCACCCATGCAATTTATCTTCTTAGAAGAGGATATAATTTAGTAGGTGTTATGGCTTATACCTTGACGCCCTCAGAAGCCTTATGTGGTCATGAGTTGGGCTTTTGAAGGTGGCTGGTTCTAGGGTGCATGGTGTAGGGATCAAAGATGTGATGCTATGATGATAGGATTAAGGCTGCCCCATCCTAGGAGAGAGGGCCACCTGCCCTAGGAGCGGGGAGCCTGGATAAGATATAAGGGACAGAAAGCAGGGTATCTGCGAGCCACTTGCTGCCTTGCTGCCTTCTGTCTGCCATAGACTGTTTCTCCTCTTGGTGCCCCTCTGCCATGCCACCTGTCTTTAGCCAGCCAACTATGCACTGAGACTTCTACACGCTGTAAGCCAAAAACACTTTTCCTCCTTTGACATTGGGCGTTGGGTATTTTATGTCAGCAACAAGAAAAGAAACATAGACGATAGGCGAATATATCCAGTACTTTTGTGTTTTTAGACCTTGGTAAAACTTTAGATAAAAAAGGTGGATTTGGTGTGAGTGGGTGTATTTGTCCCAAAGGAAAACTGGCCGTGTTGGTATCATATTCATTTAATGTCAGAGAGTTATTTTAGCGATTTGCTGATTTTCCCATTTTCAAATTGGCAGTGCCTAAAACCATTAGAATTAGATCTCTTCCACTTGGGAAGAACTCAGGTGAGAAATGTGTTTTGTTCTACAGTTACACAATTAGCCTTCTCAATGTTGTATTATAAGAAGCACTTCTTGATCTTAAAATTAAAACTGCAGAGTATTATATAATCACTCACTGAAGCATTTCCACAGCATTTTAGTCTTTTAAATTTAGCTGCTGCTTTGAAATAGTAAGAAATTACAGGCTTATTATGGAGATTTTGAGAAATTGAGAAAAAATTACAAACCCTATGTAGAACAATGTAATTTCACTGTGTTAACCTTGTTCATCTTATACTGTTTCAATCTTAGTACATAAACAATATTTGCCTATAGAGGCTGGATATTTTTCCAAATTCCTGTAGAGCTTTGCAACAATTCATTTCAA